TGCTTTGGGGGGCGATAGTGCCCCAACTTCTCCAGGCCTCCAGGGAAACGTGCCTCAAGAGGACGTTATCAGTGCTGAAGAAAGGGCAAACTGGTGTATCTGGCAGCTGTTTCAACTGCTTGCTCACTTCGGAACCAGAGGGTGCTGAACAGCATTTTGCTTTTTATTATACCGCATTTGTATGGAAAGTAGAAAAGTTTGGAGACAGACCACTGCAAAAATAAAACTCTTTCCTTTATCTGTTCCCTCTTTTAGCTCCTCCCTCCTTGATCTGGTTATTTTTCCTGACCCCTAACCCCTCCCAGCATCAATCCCTCACTGCAGGTAGATATGGAGTCTTGGCCAGTTTCCACTGATGGTGTGCAAGCTCTGAGCAACCTCAGACACAAAGGATGTCCTCAGCATCCTTTGCCTATTTATATAGGTGAGTTCGTTTCCGCTTGATATTCTATAATAGGAGCCCTTGTGAACTTATCCAGATGACAAGATACCATACTGGCAGACGGGCTTTGACTCATCATGTGTGGCCAACCAGCAGGTTTTTAAGGAAAAATTTTACTGGCGTAAAACATACACTAACCCTCAGTATGAGGGATCTTTTAACATATAGTGTAATTCAGAGAGCACATTTTTAAAACCTTCATATTATTGTTACTCAGAGGGACCAGCCGCCAAACCACAAATTTGAGTTTTTGTTTCAGAGTTTTCAGGATGTTATAAATACTGCTTTGTCCCTGTGCTTTTATATTGCATTGGCCCTGAGCTTTTGTCTTCCCCTATTTTCCAAACCGATAAAATATGTACTCATCAGCAATAAAGGGCAACATGCAGTCTGTCCCTGAGGCAACTTACCTATAGTGGCTTCTCCTTTATTGTTACTCTTAGTCTATTCCTCACAAAGGGCCAAATATTCAATGTTCCTGACAGCCAAGCCTGTTACTATACCCTCTCCCACACAAAACTTCAGGCTCAGAATCTGAAAAAGATCTCTTTCTTCATACTATCCTCCCCAGTCTCTCATGTGCTGCCCTTCCCACCATCATTCCAGCTACACACTTCTGAAATGCAGCCCCTGTTCAGATTTCTAAAATCTCTTTGCTGGGCAAACTTTAGATTTAGTGGGTCACAGGGGGAAAAAAGTAGCAAAAACACCCCAAAAGGAAGAGAATGCACAATTGTGATGTTTAGCACGTCTCTGTAATCGATGTTTCAAAGACAGAAGAAAACAACTCAAAATATTAACTGGTGAGCGTCAGAGCTGTTCTTCAAAGAGCTGAGTGACAAAATGGAAAACATTGTAATTACCTGCTATTAAATACTCCAAACAGATGGTGTTCCATCCCCCCACAAAAAAAATAGGTTCCTCACCTGACCGGAGAATCATTTCTGAGCCCTCACCCCAAATCCAGTTGCTTAACTTCCGTTGCATCCAAGTGTGATTTGGTTTGCTTCCCTTACTTTGGAAATCTAGCCATAAAATCATGCTTTCTTCTAGTTGATACTTAAGGGTCAAAAACTAACCGTTTTATTTATTTGAAGAATTACTATTACACAGAGCCCCAAACTGTCAGGAAATGAAGGACCTGCTAAATTAACCTGGGGTTCCTACATTACCTTAAGTTAAAAGGATAGATTCTCATGGACACTTATCTAGATTTCTCTGAAAAAGATCCGCACAGCTTTCAACCTAACTTCACCTTCCCATACATTCCTAAGGACCCCTAACAGGCCTTCAGCTCCAGTTAGCTGGTTTGAGGCTATACCCTTGAACTGCCAGAGGGCAGAATCCAGCAGCTCACGCTCAGCTGTAAACATCCACAATCCTAGTGATGGTGATGGTGGTTTTTTTTTCTTTAGTAAAAAATAGAGACATTTAAGAAGTCATCTGAATCTCTATTTAAAATCCTTGTAGAAACCATGTGATGCAGAAATAAGTCCACCTTGCTTTGACTTTGAAAATATTTTATTTGAATAGTAAATAGTTATACAGTTGAAACAGTTCTATTGAAGCTTTCTATAAATAGCTAACAATTAAGAAAATAATGTATGTAGAAAAGAGATTGCATTTAAAAGTAAGAGCTGTCAGTTGTACAAGGGCCTCAGGGGCCCTCCAAGCAGAATAAAATGGTAGGTTGTCTGTAATTTGCTCAGATAGGTAAAAAAGTTAAAACTTTTAGCAGATTCCTTTAGAAAAAGGCTCTCTTCTAAAATGCACAGTGAAATGTCGAGAGTGGCAGGGGGGGAAAGCATATAAAAAAAAAAAGGATCTGCAATCAAATAATATCTTAATCTTCATAATTAATATAAATAAATAAAGAATAAATAACAATTACTCATAAATCAACATATACATTTAGAGGGAACTCATACAGCCCTACCTCAATAAAGGCGATCCAACCAAAAAGTCTTACGTGAAATATTGAGGCAGTTTCTATAGCAACTTCTGAAAATTCCCTCCCCCCCAAACAGTCCCAAACAGACAACAGTTCAAGGCATTTGTGGCTATACTAAAGAAAACTCTTTTTTAAGCAATTTGATTTGTTCACATACAAAAAGGTAAAGCCAGACTCCAGCAGTTCACAAGCCATAATAAAGCTAATCGTGTGGGAAGTTCAATTTACAGCCTGTGAAATATAAAGGCATTTATTCCTCAAGATTCACCCAAAACAACCCGTACGCTACATACATAGAGAGCAGAGATTGGTAGGCGAGAGCAAATCGCATTTCTAGATCATGAACACAACGAATACTAGCAAGAAAAACAGCTTTCCACTCCAAGGGGAGGCTTCCAACCACGAGACAAACGCGTACAGCTTTTCTTCCTTGTACAGAAAGAGATTGGTTCCTGTTGCGCCAAGGGGTGGGGGTAGGGGACACAACAGGGGGTGGGGGTCCAAAGGAAGTCACAACGAGAGGGCTGGGTTACCGTCAAGTCACATCGAGAGAAGCGGAGACAACACTTTCACCGGGAGTGGGCGCCCCAGGAGTGGACGCGGCTTCGGGGCGCGCAAGGCGCACTCTTTTCGTGGGTCTCCAAGCGAAGGCACAGTTCAGGGGGCCGGGATGAAGGGCTCGCTCTAGCAGGCCGGGCGCACGGGCACCTGCAGGAGGATCACCTGTCTGTTCTCGGACGGGTGGCACTTGTTGATGTGCCTAGTGAGGCCAGGCGAACTGTAGAAGGTGGCCGGGCAGTACTTGCAGGGGAACACCTGGGCAGCGTGCAGCAGGCGCAGGTGGCGCTCCTGGGCGCCCTTGCTGGGGAACGTCTCCCCGCACACCGGACACAGGTGGCACTCGGCGGACGCACTCAAGCCCAGCACGCCGGCCGCCTCGCCGTCGCCAGCCGCCTCCTGCGGCGCCTTCTCGTCGGGCCCCGGGTACAAAGCCAGTAGGTCCTCGGCCGGGGGCGCGGGTGGTGTGCCCTTGGCCTGCAGCGCCTGGTGGTGAGCCAGCAGGTGCTTGCGCAGATAGGCCTGGCGGCGGAACTTCTTGGCGCAGTGGTGGCACTCGTAGAGCCCGTCCTCGGAGCCCGACTCCGACACGCCGCCGGGGCTCGGCGTGTCGCGGTCGCTGCCGCCTCCCGTTGACTCTCGCGCCTCAGCCCTGGCAGCCGTTTCGGGCTCCGACGCGCGTGCGGCTGCGGGCGCAGGGCGCGGTTTGTGCCAGCGGCGGTGAGAGGCCAGATTGGCTGGGCAGCTGAAGACCTTGGCGCACTCGGGGCAGCGGTACTCCACGCGCACGATACGCGAGCACTTGTGCTGCGCCAGCGCGAACGGGTCGGCGTACTCCTCTTTGCAGAGCTGACAGATGAACTCACCCAGCGGCCGCGCCGCGCCCCCCGCACGGCCCCGTGGCGCCTCTACCGGGCCCTCCTTGATCTTGAGCCCCAGCACAGGCGACGTGGTAACCTCGTCCTCGAAGTGCAGCTTGCGGATGGCTTTGGGCTTCTTGGAGCCCGGGGCCTTAGCTACCTTGGCGGGGGGCTCGGAGGCAGAGGCAGGGGGCG